AATAAACAAATAAATAAATATAAAAGCTTCGTAATTCTTACTATGACAATTGATCGTCAGAAATAACCGAGTCATCCTGCGTACGTTAATGGAACAAGTCCTACCGCAGGTTATTGGTCACTGTGCTCAACTCCGGAAAAGGTAATTCAAGGTTCGCACACTCTTCATGCTTATGCTGATGGTTTGAGTCTCTCACTAAGTCACTATATCAGGTGCAACATGAGCCAACGAGCGATCACAGATGTTGAAGTTTTATCAGCGAAAACCAGTCAAAGTACGACGTGGCGTTCGACGACAGTGTTGAATCCCAGTCTCCAAGATTCTGACAGCCCGGATGAGGCGGAAGTGGAATCAGATGTTTCCTATAGCGACAGTGAATTCTGAAACAGTGGAAGTTGACGAAGAGTCAGTTGAGCAGGAACTGCTGGTGGACCAGAAGTATTACTACAAACTGCGTGTTGCACTTCTTCCCAAACGAGGTCTCAACCCGACATTGGTTGTGTACCACGAATTAATGTGCCAGTGGAAACAAATCATCCAGTTTATACCCCATAATGGATTTTCTACGTTGATCGAATTCGAAGCAAGTGATTCCAGGTAGTTTGCTGCTCCTTTTTGCACGAACAAACGCTTGGAAATTTCAGAACAGAAGACCAAGAGGAAGATCCAAGCGAACCGACGCAGGAGAAATTCTGTTAGTGATGGGTTGTCAACTTGTCATGAGCTACAACAAACTTCCAAGTGTTGCGGATTATTGGTCGCGGGAACCTTCAATGGCTAATTCAACAATCAGAGACGTCAGAAGGCATCTTCTGCTTCAAGAAACCCCACACCGCCAAATCAATTGGTTCAAATCGGGCGACTTAGATGGCCAAACATTTTGTGCCCGGTAACTTGGAAAATGACGGTCACAGTTCTCCAACATTGATTTTGCGGCATGTGGAGGCGCCCTGTCTTGCTGAAGAATGCAATGACGTTCGCTGAAGGTCAAAAGAGTCCTTGGAAGAAGGGCATTACGTGAAAATTGTTTCCGGGTAGATCTGGGCGCTGGCTTTGATGTATTCATCCACAAAGACAAGCGGTGTCATGGTTTCAGAAGTAATTCCTGCCCAAACCATGACAAATTTGAAAAACGGTTCCTTGTGTGTACACAAGGTCGAGCAGAATGTCTGCTAGCCAGATCACATCACACCGATGTCGGCTACTTGCGGCCCACGATTATGTCAATTGAAAAGAGACCTGGGACGGTAGTAAAGTGCCATAGACTGGGAGTCAAAGGTGGTGAACTGCGGCCGTAAACGGCGAATAATGAAAGGAGAAACAGGGAGGTGACCCTAGGATAGACGGCGAACTTCAGCACGATGTTGGCAAAACTGCTGCATCGCCCGGAATTGAACTCTCTGCTATTCACTTGACAGCGGGCACTGATACCACTGCGCCATCAACGCTGTACTGCACATGCTGGCTGTACTCGGCGGTACATTTTAGTCACCGT